TCTTCCACGGAAACCCGAAACTCGTCACTTTTCCAACACTTTTTTTTCCTGTGGGGTTCAGGCCTTATTCCTGCTCCAGGACACCTTCAAATATTGAGGCCTTTTCAGCAAATCTGCGCACCAAAATTTTAAACCACCAGTACTTGGCCCAGCTATTGCCAGCGGAAAAAAAGAAAGAGTAAAAACGTTTCTAGTCAGATGAATTTGGGCGCTCCTGTAGTGGCCGGTACGTTTCCTAAAATTGTAGTTTCCTAAAATTGTGGCTTGTTAACCGGCACGACTTTAGGAAGTACTGGTGGTTTAAATGTCTCACAGCTGCAAATGTTCTACATTGGAACAGAAATGTTAAACAGCAGAGACCAAGAGCGGATGGGCCGACGGTGACCACCCCGCTTGTGGGATGATAGGGTGCCTTTTGTCGTGCACGAGGTGCCGCCCACACAGCTCGTGGCCATGCCTGCCACACCCTGCCGTGGCCGACAAAGATTTGGACTGCCGTGGGCCTTCCCTGTGAACTGAGCTGCGACCTGGCTTGCCTTCCTCCTTCCTGGCTCCCCTGTCTTTCCCCGCCATCTGCAGCAACTAGCCGCCGCTTTCCGCCCCATTAATCCGACTGCTCAAGTCCTCCTCTTCCTCTTCGATCTCTGTTGCGATCCTGCGCGGACTGCCGGTTGGGTGCCCTGGCATTCATCAGGCTCATCATGCCTCACGGACTGCACGGATTGACAACCCGGGTGGAGCTGGCGAGATGGAGCAGTGTGGAGGGTGAGTGTGGAAGGTGAGTGTGGTGAGCGGCGATGGCAGAACGGTCAACTTTCTGTTCGCAGCCCTAAGGCTGCAGTATAGAAGGCTTCTGCGTCTGTGTCAAGGTGTCTCATTTTTGGTGGCGGACGACCAGGACGCAAAGTGGGTTCTTAGGAGGCAAAAAAATTTGGGGGACCAGTCCTTGGCAAAATTGCGGACTACCTACAGCTAGCTCTGGTAGAACCGGGACTTTTGGAAAAAGGAAGGACCCGTCCTCGGGTGGAAGTGGACCCCAAAAAGAAGTGAGGGCATGTGAACTGCAAAAGGGCCATAAGGCCCAGGCGTTGAGGCCCGTCTTCTCAAAACAGGGAGGTCAGACGCAACGAAACAGGCGTTTTGCAAGAGGCAACTTTGGCGATTTTCTGTGCTCGGAGGAACCCGCAGAAAAATCTGAAATTTTGAGAATCCATAAATGAGGGCGTGTTCTTTCCAGAAACAATATTAGAACATTTTCAAAAAGTCATTTAGACTGCAAAATAATTGTCAAACTGATTTGGCACATTTTCCATTTCTGCCACTCAGCCATCCAACTGAAAAAGTACTCCAAATTCAGTGACTTTCACGCTCAGAAGAATGCGTGAAAAAACCAGAAAATTGGAGTACTGGTAGTTTTTGTTGTGATCTTTCCAGGAAAAATGCTCAATAAATTACGAAAAATCATTCCAACTGTTAAATAGATGGCGGCCGCGATTTGACCAATATTTCAATTCTGCCATTCAGCCTCTCTCTCTCTCTCTCTCTCTCTCTCTCTCTCTCTCTCTCTCTCTCTCTCTCTCTCTCTCTCTCT